ATCGCTACAACTGAAACGCCTAGTCTAAACTTTAGCAGATTTCCCCTGATTTTCTCGGGTATGTTGCGATATTATCAACGTTCCTAACCGCTAAACTCGTCATTAAAGAGTGGATAAGGCTTCACAACAGATTTTGAATGTGTATACCCTGGGAACTACATTATTCCAGAGTCACTGATACTTCACTTCAGCTAGGAAATCCAACTCATAATGTCTATTTGCCACTTCACTTTGTTTACACTGCTCTCATAAAATTACATGTGAAAAAAATGTACGGATCGAACGTAGCGAAGACTGAGCAAGCACTTTGACGTAACACTGTTACGCATAATTTCTCTTTCACTTACGAGTATTCAAATGATTTTGGGTTTGTGAACGCACCTGCGCCGCCATGGCTTCGCCCTGTACGGTCTGCTGTTGAGCGACGAACTCGCCGGCCGGTTGCGGCGGTTGAGCCGTGAACTGCTCAAAAGCAGGTCGACTCATGCGATTCGACTTTGATGGATGGCAATCGACCCTGAATTCGCAAATAAAAAGGCATCTTCCAAATACATTACGACTGAGACGAGTCCTGTAAACCTTTAGCAAAAGGGAAATGAATTCCAAGGTAAAATGCTCGAAAAGAGCTACAAAAACGAAGAGCCCATCGATAAAGTCCCGTTCAAACGACGTCCTCTTCAGCCCTCGGCCGGCGATCGATAGTTGGGACGGCGCCAAAGCGTTCGCCGTACGGTCTATTCCGCTCCAGACCCGCTTCCTAGGCCAACAATAACAAGTCCCGCCTCCAAAACCGTGCCAATCTCTCGTTCGAACCTAAAAATCTATAATTCTCGGAGATTTCGCGCGTTTTCAATTTATGCTTTTTTATTTCGTTCACCTATGGCTTCCCATTTTTTAAATATCATTTTATTTTGCGTTAAAAAACTGTATGTTAGGATTTGCTGTGAAGTCTTAATGTTGGTATGCTATATTGTTTTTTAGATTGACTTCAGGTTTTCAGAACTTGCTTTGGCAATTTTTAAATTCAAGATAAAATCTTGTCTTATATGGAGTTGTTTGTCAAGAATCTTTATCTTATATTTTGAGGATTTTATCGGTTGATGCGTTTTTATGATTTCTAGAACATCTAATTCTGAAATATTCTCAAAGGTGTACAGCTTCTGCTAATTTGCTATAACCATTTTTTTGATTTACTTCGAACCTGTAAATATATTGTTTGTACTGTCAAAAAATTTTCGCTCTGTTTCCCAATCCTGTACCCCTGTTTTCTCAAATGCATTCAGTTTGCTTTTATTTTTATTAGCAGAAGTCTCTAGTCATTGAAGGTAGTTGTGCTATCAGAAGGATGAAAATGAATGTGGTCGATGACTTAGTAATTCGATCCGAACC